GAGCTTAGTGAAGACAGTGCATCTTCTTATGAAAAGCTGAGGAAATCATATGACCATCTCTATCGGAATATCTCATCGTAAGTTGAACATTCATATAAGTCAACTGGGTTTTCCTTTTCTTGTTGGGTCTAGCTGTAGTGGAGTTGATTGCAGAAAAGTTAGAAATATATCATATTTGTAATAATTTAGTTGTATGGGTCTATTGGTAGCTTTGTAGCTTTCTTCTCACTGGCCATTAACTTAAATATCTATAGCACATGCTATTATTGTTTAGCTCTCAGTTCTGTCATAATATATTCTTGAAGTAAATAGCATGTTGTCGCTGTCACCCTAGTTAGAAAATATAGTGTCATTGTTTAGATCTCGGGGATGCATCAGTTCCAAATCTTTTTTATTTGATTGTCACATGCGTTGACCGGTTCACTGGAACCATATAATATTTTATGAGTGGACGTTTCGAAGTGATTTTAGATTATGGTGTTTATCCCTTCATCCCACATCTTTGACTGGAATGGATTTCTGGTTCAGGAACACAACCAGTTTCAATATTCAGAGATTATGTTTAGGATAAACATTGGTTATGGAACAAAGTCAGTTTTTTAAGCATTCTTATCCAATGCAGTGTACTTCACATATTTAGTTATGTATTTTGTTTGTCCTGTTGCAGTTTGGCCGAATCACTTGATATGCAGCCTCCTGTTATGCCAGAGGATGGTACAACTAGGCTCACAGCAGGGGAGGATGCTTCATCCTCTGCGGCTGTAAAAGATACTTCTGTCCCCGAACCTATTTGGGACGACGAAGACACCAAGACGTTTTATGAGTGCTTGCCTGATCTGAGGTCAGCTCATTTTTAATAATTTTAGAAAATCTGGATTATCTAGTTCTGTATTGTGTTTACTCTTTTATTAGGTTTCAATTGTTTATGTCTGATGCATTGTTTCTCCAGGGCATTTGTTCCCGCAGTCCTGTTGGGAGAAGCAGAGCCTAAATCAAATGAGCAGTCTGCAAAGGCAAAAGATAAATCCTCTGTGAGTGGATGGCATACTACAGTAGATTCTGTCACTCTTGCTCTCTTAGGATATAGGAGTACATTTATTGTTGCTGCGATGTGCGAACGTGTATAGTGTTCCTTTTTGATATACTATCAAGGACACCTCAGATTTGTGTTGCATATTTCGGCATTGTGAAAAACGAACTTACATTGTTTTCTAAAATACCTATGATTTTGATTTCATGCCTTGTTGTGATTGATTGAAGGAGTCTAGCTCTGAAGTTGTCGAAAGTCAACAAACAACCGAAGACACAACAGAGGTTCCTTCTGATTCTGGTAGTGTGGCTGATGGGTCAAACATTGAGCAGCCAAAAGAGAAGGAAGAAGTAGATAAAGAAAAGGCCAAGGACACTAAAAAGGAAAAAGGGAAAGAAAAGGATAGTGACAAGAAATCGGAAAACGAAAAGGAGAAAGGTAAGAGTCTTGACGTGGCAAACTTCGAAAGACTGTTACAGAGACTTCCTGGTTGTGTAAGCCGTGATCTTATTGACCAGTTAACGGTAAGAGTCCATAAATTGGTTTTATATTCAATGTTGTTTCGGTTTGTTTACTCTTATGGTTTTATTTCCAGGTGGAATATTGTTATTTAAATTCGAAGACAAACAGAAAAAAACTTGTCAAAGCGTTATTCAATGTCCCYAGGACATCTCTGGAGTTGCTAGCATACTATTCGCGTATGGTTGCAACACTAGCAACGTGCATGAAGGACATTCCTTCTATGCTTGTGCAGATGTTGGAGGACGAGTTCAATTCTTTGGTCCATAAAAAGGTTAGCTGGATAAGAAGTGATTAATTTTACCTCAAAGGCATTTGATTGTGACTGCACTCTTATCCTTTGAACAAGAGTGAAGTCAGTTCATTCTATTGATGTGAATGCCTCTGTTCCTCAGCTTTGCTACCAACATTCCATTCTTAACGGTGTTCAAATTTGATAATATACTGTCTGATGGAGTTGCAAATTTAATTTTGTGCAGGACCAAATGAATATCGAAACAAAAATCCGGAACATCAGATTTATTGGAGAACTCTGCAAGTTTAAAATTGTACCTGCTGGTCTTGTATTCAGTTGCTTAAAGGTACTGCACAATTCATCAACACGTGCATTCTATGGAGATATTTACTTTTTAAAATTATTTGAACATATGTTAGGTACGTTTCGATTATGTATGTTAGGTAAGTTGCACTTGAATCCACTTGATGGATATCGAAGAGTAATTATATGGGGAAGGATTATATCATCTCCGGCGAAACTTGAGCCACCCAACTCTTTAAGATGTTCACTTCCCAATTTTTTTTTTTTTTGCAGGCTTGCTTAGATGAATTTACTCATCATAACATTGATGTAGCTTGCAATCTTCTGGAGACATGTGGCCGTTTCCTGTATCGGTCTCCCGAAACCACACTCAGAATGACTAACATGCTTGACATATTGATGCGCCTGAAAAATGTCAAAAACTTGGATCCTCGTCAAAGCACTCTTGTGGAAAATGCCTACTACCTTTGTAAACCACCTGAAAGATCAGCACGAATTTCTAAAGTTCGTCCACCATTGCATCAGGTACTTTCTACTCTCCCCAACTGCAATGTCCTTTATGTTTCGAATAATATTCCGTTGCTCAATTGTATTGGCAACTTTGGTTTTTCTTAGACTTTTATTCAAATTTCTGCAGTATATTCGGAAATTGCTATTCTCAGATCTTGATAAAGATTCCATTGCGAATGTACTGAAGCAACTGCGGAAACTGCCATGGAATGAATGTGAGCAGTACATCTTAAAATGCTTTATGAAGGTTCACAAGGGAAAGTATGGTCAGATTCATCTAATTGCTTCCTTGACTTCGGGTTTGAGCCGCCATCACGATGAATTTGCGGTGGCTGTTGTTGATGAGGTATGCTCCTTCCACTGTATCTAATAGACTAGTACATATGGATTTCCGTTTTGCGTCGCCCCAATCTCTAAGAAGTTTCTGAGATTTATTGGAGAAAATTACTCTGGTCTTGGGGTTTTACATATGAATGGGTTCCCAAAAGTCAGATAACTTTATTTTAGATGGTGCTGTAAATGGCTTCTCCCTGGCTCTCGGGAAAACTATTCCGATTTTTCCACTCCACTTGGAGAACTGAATCATGTGTAAAGCTCTTCATTGACTTTACAAGATATGTAACTTGTTCTCTTCCTTTGTAGTTATAACTGGGATAGCAGTGCTAAACTTATAGGCATTTGGTTTTTATTATGTACAGCACTGAAGAGGTCTAATATGCTAAACTCCTTTTTTTAGTCAATAGAAACGAAGATTGCCAAGTTGAAATAATATTGTTTCTTATGTGAAGTTTGACATGTCAGTAAAGCCAAATATAAGCTTGCTGTTGAAAATGGTTTGGAGGAACATAGGTTTGGATTCCATGTTGTATGAAATCAGAACTGTGTATGCTGGATAATAAAATTTGATGCTTGGTTATGTCGTCTCATGAATGATGTTTACGTGCTTGAGTTATATTTTATCTATAGCTTTTGCTGGATTTATTCAACACACATTTTTCTTTTAAGGTATTGCTTGTTGTCTGCGGCTTAGTATCACACTTTGTTTTCTGAAGTAATGTGGTACATTATTTTCACTTGAAGGTACTGGAGGAGATAAGGATTGGGCTTGAATTGAATGAATATGGGGCACAACAGAAGCGACTGGCCCATATGCGATTCTTAGGGGAGCTGTACAATTACGAGCATGTAGATTCATCTGTGATATTCGAGACGCTTTATTTAACTCTTTTATATGGTCATGATACTTCAGAGGTATGTAGCCTCAGTCTCTTTCAGAGTTCAACCCTTTTGTTGTTTGGCATTTGATAGTTATTTTCTTAATGCATTCCTCATGTTATTTCAATTTGGTAGGCATGCAAATCATGTTTTATAAGATTGTGGTACCTATGCATATTTCATTTTACGCAAATGTGGTATACTATATTCTACAACTGATTATGACGACATAAACTGTCGAATGATTGAAACCAGAAGTTGTATGTCTCGTAAAGAGATAGTTAAACTGCTGTTTGTATCTTACATAAATACTGGGCTGCTCTACTCTGCAGGATCGTTGCTTTTACGTTTAATTTTATGTATTCTTTCTCTTTCACTGATTGACTGTTGTTGCTTTTATGATGTTAGAAAGAGGTGCTGGATCCACCGGAAGATTTTTTCCGTATCAGGATGGTTATCATTCTTCTCGAAACATGTGGGCACTACTTTGATCGAGGTTCTTCAAAGAAAAGGCTTGATCAATTTTTGATACATTTCCAGAGATACATACTTAGCAAGGGTCATCTTCCCCTGGATATTGAATTTGACTTGCAGGTTGGTCTTGATATTCTTTTGTAGGTGATCATAGGGAACATGAGATTAGGTTTGCAATTCTCCTAGTCTGTGTATAGAGAGACGGTATCATCTACTATCTATTAACAAAAAAAGAGGCAATTGATGCATTATGAGTTGTATAAACTGATTTTCGATTTTGTAGAACTTGATCCGGTTTTCACTTTACGGTTGAGGGTATCTGTAACAAAATTTGTGTCTTAACTTCTGTCACAATTCAGGATCTCTTTGCCAATTTGAGACCCAATATCACCCGGTATGCGACCATTGATGAGGTCAATGCAGCTATATTGCAGCTGGAAGAGCGTGAACATGCGTCTTCAGCAGACAAAGTCAGCATAGAACGATACTCAGATACAAAGCCTCCAAGCAGATCGGCTTCCGGTGTTATCTCTTCTAATGGGAAAAGTACTGCAAAAGATATTGGAGAGAATGGTGAAGCTCACGGAGAAGAAAGTGACAGTGATTCTGGTAGTGGCTCTGTGGTCCGAGATGGACAGAATGAAGAGTTGGATGATGGAAATCATGACCGTGGATCTGAGAG